CGGATTGAAAGAAATTTGTTTCTTCATCAATTTCTTTACGTTTTATTTTAAGATATTTGTTAACAAATTATGTTTAAAAGCTCTGATTTTTAATGGTCGATTATCAAGTTAAAGCGTGATTTTTAACATTATTTTATTGCTCTGTCGTATATTTGTGATTACCTTTAGTTTCATATTTTCATTCATATGGCCTTTTTCTTGCTATATCATTTCGTATAAAGCAGTTTCTGTTGACTTAATGTGACTTTTTAACTGATGATGAACGTGAAGTTCGGAATATATTTTATCTTGTTGTACATTAACTTTTGAATGGAACTGGTTCTGTGACGGGGGTTGCAAATTCTTAGCCTTACTATATGAAATCGAGACTGAAAATGGCTAGCAGAAGAAGAGAAATCATGCCGAGAAAGTCGAAGTCAAGAGATAAAGCCGTTCAAGGATTCCTTGGCTCTAAATATAATTATAAAACATTAATTACTTATTTCTCCTTATCTTTTTTGGTGGCATTGCTGCTTGGCTTGTTTGTGAGTTCGCCAGCACCTTCATTGTCACCACGGCTTGCTGATTGGCGGGATAGTGGATATATTTTTAACTTCTCTGGGTTTTCGATATTCTACCAAGGTAACCATTTCAATTTATTTAAAGTGTGGCAGCTAGTATTGTGTATTTGTAACTGTTCAGATATTTTGGGCATGGGCAATAGAAGCGGATTTACAATCGGGCGAACATATGTTTATAAGGTATCCCTTGGAAAAACTGATTGCAGAAATTGCACAACTTCCTTTTCCTCCCCCCTATTGAATTTTGGATAAGGAATGGAAAAATAAAGGAAAGAGTAACACCGTCAAAGCCCTATTTAGCCCCCTCTCTTCAAATTTCTGTCTCTATGCAAAAACGTTTTATAAGCCCAAGGGATATTGAAGTATTTTGTCTTTTTAGAAAATTCTCTCGATGGTTGTGGAAAATTCAGAACTTTGGAGTGGCAGAATTTTCTAAAAAACAGCAACCATTTAAAATGCCTCTGAGTCTTTTTTGATAACTTTTTTCAATTCTGCACAACAGAAGTCAATTCTGCATAACAGAAGTACTTATAGCTGCCCCCTATCTAGCCCCGATCCAGCTCGTACAAGAATTGTTTTAAAAGCAGATGCAGGTTATTGTAAGCAAACAAGTTATAAGCCCCAGTGAATGCATCATGGGTTGGAGCCAGAGGGGAAGTTGTAATAGGTTACACAGCAGGTCATCAAGTGTTTGACACAACTGACACAAAAATTCCAAATCATCAAAAACTGCAGTTATGATGACTTGGAGATGTGTTTTAAAGATACAATTCAATCATTTTTGGTTTTCTCTAAATTTCTTGAAATTTAAAGAAAACAAAAGTTTAATGTCAACTCCTAAATGTGTCAACCCCTTTGCTTGAGCAATCATTAATTGCAAAATGAAAATGCATTAAGTGAGAGTGATGAAATTAGTTGTATTTCAAGGACCAGACTATGATACATGGGAAGCAAGATCCGCCATAATAAAAAGAGTATTCAGGGATTTCATTAGAAGCTGGCAACTGATGAAAGTCTGCAGCTTACTCACCGAACCCTTGCTGTCTACTTTCACCCTCACTTTAGTAAGACTGCACAAACTTTACTTAAACTTTTAGACATCTACTTTTAGATGGGAGCCTTCTACTTAAAAAGTTTCTTAAGTAACAGAGGTGCATTATTAAGGTTTATACAGCCAGTAGCATTAATTTTTTTTGGGGGGGAGGGGTTGAGGGGGAGGGGGGCAGCACTTTTCTCTACTAAAATAGAAAAGAAATGGTTTATTGGAAATAATAGTCTACCATTATTTTTTGTATTTGTTTGTCAGGGACTCAAACCTACTGAGCCATCCTCCCACTTAATGTCAACTTCTAGTTCAAGAATGACTAATTATGAACCAGAGCAGTTTTGTAGATACAGGGGGTGTCAGGGGGGGGGGTGGCAAAAAGCCCCCTGTAAAGCTAAAAAGCTATTTTGTTGGAACATTTCTGATCTTGTCAAAAATATAACATGGTTTTCTATTATTATCCAAGTGTTACATTTTTAAAAGACAGTCTTTAAAGGTAATTATAACGATTTCTTCAGTTGTTCTGAATCGGATGGGCAACTTGAAAATGCCTTTTCGAAGAGAAGACCATAAAATCTTCAATTATAATGATTTATGACACATGACTTTGAGTAGATGATTAGACTTCATCTCCTGTTTTATTTCAGTTCTGATGTTGTTATGTTATGTTATGTTATGAATTTTCGCCACAATTTTTTCTAATCTGTGTCAAATGCTCACCAATATGGTACACGGCAAGCCACAAAAATGACATTTGCAATCTGGTATCAGATCTGTGTGTTTCTTTGGTGCCAAATTTTTTTTACGAAACAGTGTTTCAGTAGATATAAAATAATCATTTTCGGTTGTCAGTTTTTATCAAAAGCTTAAAACCTTTTACTCAACAAGAGCTATCAAATTTGATTCTAAACCAAAGTTTATTTTTCTGTCACTCATGTAACTGATCAATTACATTTAAAGCCACCTTAGAAAAGGGGGTGCTCTCTCCTCGATTATTTCACCTACTGAGCTCCTCCTAAAGAAACTCCCCCGCAAACAAAATTTGGCACAATTGTTCTTTGTTGCCTGTTATTATAGGTATTTTATGTAATGTGAAAACATTGTATGTAATTAGCTGTAATGTAGTTGTAGTAAGATATTTTATGTAGAGGAATTTTAAACTATAGAAAACTGAACTGAACTGAACTGAACTGAACTGAACTGAACTGAACTGAACTATGTTCAAATGAATAAAAAGGATTAAAGATGTGTGTTAGATTTTTGTCAGAAAATCTGACTTTTTTCCCCTCCTATGAAATTTCCTATCTATGCCACTGAATCAGAGATATCCTTCCTATAAAGAGATAGATAAGCCAACATATTGTCACTCAGTACACTTGAGTAGCTTTCTTTTTTCTTTTTGGGAAAATGGACAAATTTATTCATTTCTGAAGGAAATAGTATGTTAAGATCTTAATTGAAGTTCATTGGAAAAGGTCTGTATTTGAGTGTTTCCGAGAGTTTCATGGGGATGATTTGGTTGCACGGCATGGATTATTTCTGATGTACCAATTACATGAATCATTTATCAAGTGTCTGGATGTAACTTAATCCGCATTTTTCTATTTGCAGATATTCCAAAATTGAAATTACCAAGAACTGGTCCAGATATTTTGTTACTGCATGGGTTTCCAACAAGCAGCTATGATTGGAAGAAGGTAACGACACAGCAACAGGTCCACACATTAACCTCTTTTGAACCTCCTTGATATTACTGGTGCCAAAA